GAAATTTTAGAAATTTCACAGATTTGAAATCATGAGTCAATTGAAGCTAGACCACCATGGAAAACCTGGAAGCACTGGACGGCTGTTTCGTCCTGGTATGGGACTCCTCAGCGGTGCGCGTCCACGATCCCGCACCCCACGAGATTTGAACACAGAGCCTATCAGTTTTGCTCCAGGCGCTTAACCAGCTAGACTACTGAGCCGGTATCCAATGGTGTTAATGTCTAACTTCAACCAATCCACGAAGTTGCGCCACTGTACACCATTGTCTTCAGTGAGTTGATATCTCACAACAGACCCGGTTGAACTTCACTGGTCACTTCTTCTCACTAGAACTTCAGGAAATACCTCTTGAAACCAATCACTAGTGGACATACGTTAATGAATACCAGAAGGGGTTTTATGGATATTATAGTAATTTTTATTAGTAGAAATCATGAGTCAATTGAAGCTAGACCCAGTATAATATAATCATCATTATAACCATTAAATTATCAAATGACTATGCTAGGTTGAATAATATTTATTTGCAATAATACTATTTAGAAAATTTATTTCATCCCTAAATATTTTCTGTTTAATTCCATATTCTTTTCCTTGGTCATTGAAAAGTTGTCACCTTAAATTTTAATAACGAATTATGCTCTACGTATCATTCATGCCTAAATATTTATAAATCGACTAATGGAACTAATCAATTAATTCTTATTTCTCAGTGTATAGAAAGTTTCCCATTCAAAGGACATTGAGTCAACTCAGACTACCTCAAATATTTGGTATAGTTAATCTGAACAATAAGTAGATACTTAGACACAAATTTCAAAATAAATAATGGTCAGTTGTGAATATTTGTTCTAACCCTAATGTACTTTTATGAATAACTTATGTATATAAAGTACTTAAAGGTAAGAAGAGAACAATGTAAAGGTTACAGGCATTCAACTGTAACTTCATTTTCAAAGAATTTCTGTTTTGTCTACGTAAAACTAATTGAATTGTTTTTAATGTAAGCTTAGAGTTCTAAGGCAATAAATATGAACTAATCAATGAGATAATGAACTTCTACCATGTTCACTTAAATTTTTCAATGATTATTCCACTGTTAGTTAATTGTTACTGTAATAGTATTCACAATAAGCAACAGATCATAACATGATTCGTAACGAATGAAACTACTTATTATTGTGAATAAATTCTATTCACATTTTCCATTTGAGTATAGTCTTTCAGATGTTATGAATCAATAATTAAAGAACTTTACGTTGATTATTCCAAATCAATCGCAATGGCTAAGATACATTCCCAAATTTACTTTGAATCACTTTTTAGAAAAAAATACTTTTTTAATTAATTAATCATTTCCTCCTAATTTTTACGAACTATGTGATTTGTTTCTCTCTTGTGTAATATAGGATAAAGTACTGTTCAATAGTTAGATGTAGTCCAAAGGAAACCGTTTTAGGATTTGTGCTAATTGATCACTCGTCAACCAGAGGTACTTACAGCGTTGAATTACTTAAACCATTGATTACATTTAAGATTGATAGTATTCGATCAACACTAAAGGACAAGTCAAACATAGCGTTGATTGCTACCCTGTAACCAATTAATTGTGCAATAAAATACTCTTAGATTATTTCATATCCATTTGTTATCAAAACGTGTAGTTTTTGGGTGGGCAACATCATATTACTAAATTGTTCACTTACTGAGACAGGTTACTTTTTGGACAATGTGATATAATAATTTATTTGTTTTAAAAACAAATTAAATGCTAGAAGACGAAGATTATCAGAACTATGTGATTTATTAGCGCAATACATTTCGAACAATCTGATCACGCATATACTTGTTAAGAGCATTTATATATAAAAATAAAAGGTCAACTAGACTGGGAACGGGGTAAGAGGAGATAAGGATAATGATAAGAGTAATAATAATAATAATAATAATAATAATAATAATAATAATAATAATAATCTGAACACAAAGCGAAACCCAATCCTTCTGGATAATAAGTCAATGTTACGAGGGTAGGTTTAAGGTAAGAACAAACTGTTTTTGAACACACAAAGGGGGTTCGAATGTATTGCGCTAATATATCACATAGTTCTGATAATCTTCGTGTTCTTACTACATTATCGAAATTTATCAAAGGGACTAATTGTTTTAAATGCTAGAAAGCAATTTTTCCTTTCCTTTGTCATACGAAAGAGATCAAAAGTTCACTGAATTATTTAATGAACAAAAATCTAATTCTTTATTGTATGTGATCAAATTACCATTTATCCTGGATCCACTGCTTAACCTTTTTGAGAATAAATAATATAATTTCGTAGGATACATTGTTCTATGTATCTGTTTTTGAATTTTAAGATCCTTAATAACCGGAATGTGTGCAATACTTTGTATTATAACTTATCCAAATCACGAATTGAAATGATGTCTAACATTTGTGTTATTTAATACGATTTATCCTCTGTCCTACTTCTAATACTTGTAACTCGGATAATAAAAATACGAAAATCCGGTTTATATGACGAGTTTATTGACCCTTCAAAACACGTAATCCGTAAACGAAATTACACTTACATAGATAATTTTTGCACACAATAGTTATTCAATTTTATCATAGACAGGGGACATGAAGTCACTGTAAAATACGCATGCTGAACGTAGTTCACACTGTATCAATACAAAGAATATTGACCTAATTAAAAGCTTGATTGAACTAAATTCATGGCAAAGTGTAGTAAATGGATGAACCTATCAGATTCAAATGTGAAATTCATTCATCCATATGGCTCTAAAGCGTTCTTGAGTTGTAAACTGATGTCGGTTCGTGACGAAAATCATAATTATTCGTAAATAAAAGTTCATTATTCATGTTAGAAATTATCAGTCACATACTTTTCTGGTTGGCTAAAAAATAGTTCAAGGTCTCCCCTATACTTCCTCTAAATTCAAACATAAAAATTATTAACTGGAGATAGATATCACATTTTTCATCCCATTTTATCAAAACGATTAGTCATTTATGGATTTCCATAGTCTAGTGAAAAACAAAGTTTGTCTGACTGCTGTGATGTGTTTACGCCATAAGACTGGGATACACATGTACCTATTTAGGGATTTACGCATAAAAACGTATTGAAGGTCAAAGTAATATTTAGAAACAAAAGATAGAATAAACATTCATGGAAAGAAGTTATCACACCACCATAGGCTTTAAAGCTTATTGAAGATTATCAGGGCAGATTCTCGATTGGGTCAGATTGTTTCTGTTCAAAGCTTTGCCTTTGGCCATCTCCATACCAAACTTTGAAAGCTATTTTAAACTCAATACTATGTCTCATTGTTATCGAGGATCGTAGGTTACTACTTTATGAATTTATCGGAGCACATAACACTAACTAATTATGAAAACATTTAGGCAGATATCCTGTCAACCTTGATTATAATGTTCGATTATTTGTGTCCACATGGATATGTAAACTAGTAAATGTAGTGGAATGTAATATGATCCTTTATTTGATGTTGAAGCCTATGTGGAGTTATGGGCTTGGTCTTATCCTTTATAATCGATTTAGCAGCATAGTACATTTTCACGATGGTTGCTTTTTGGTCTCTGAATCAAATTTCTGACGTCTGATTCTCCTTTATCTGGTTAAGTGATACAAACGTTATCTTGGAAACAGAATTAAGAGGAATAATTTATTTTTGTATCGGTTGTTTGAGTCTTCCCGCTGATGTTTAGGACTGTAACTGATCAGTCTCATTGGTATGTGTTGTATCCTGTGCGGGTTGCCTCGACATTGCCTTAAGTCAAAAGCATTATAAGCAGATATTCAAATAAGCAATACAAAAATGAACTAAGCTTCACCCCATTGACCAAGCTACTGCCTATCTGAACTCAGTAGCTAAAAGGATAATGCAATGGCGTTTGAAGCAGACGGTACCGGGTTCGAGTCCCGGAGTGAACGTCAACTCTGAGATGCAATTACATCCAGCTGACGAGCCCCAAAATAGGGCGAAATGCGCTTTCTGGATTCCACTGCTATCCACCATCCATCACTGCAGAATTAAGAAAAGTTTTCAAATGTTACCTGACTGATACATTAATTCATAAAGTTCGACGGACATCCGTTTAATATCCTTGATTAGGTTATTCATATCATATTGTCTTCGTCGAATACTGTTGAGTGAGCAGTTACGAAAATAAGAATTCAATCCATTCATCGTTATTTGTAAATAAATGAGGCCTACTTCATATTGATCGATAACTAGTGATTAATGCTATAATTTTCTAGTGCTTAGTGGTGACCAGATTCTATCGATCATATATCGTTGTCGCCACTCATCTAAGTTTTTGATAGTGTTTTATCAGTACTAGAGATTCCACAGACATTACGTTATTGGCTAATCAGTTCATGTAAATATCTCAGTCATATTCCAGCTCAAACGCTTCCCGAATAGCTCGGTGTTTCACTGTAAAGCTTGGCGATGTGAGTTTCAATCCTATAATAAGTATCATTTCCCTTCAAGAATGCACTTGCATTTTGCTGATAAGTACCAACTAGCCCGAAACCTAGTTCGATTATGTATTCTTGCTGACCACTTCCAACTACCGTACATTGGAACCTAATTACTCTATAATTTATGGAGCTGTTCACTTCCAAACACAGAAAAAAAATTTCATGTTTTAAATACTAAATAAAATGCAACATTCAAAAATTATAATCCATTTCACAAGTTTTCAGTTTGAAATTCTTTAAAGTATATTTATTTAATCCCACATTCAATTTATATCTACTTCAATTATTTAGCCCATGATTTATTAGTTGATAAATAACACTGAATAAAGACTGTAAGAAATCACATATAGACTACAGTTGAATATTTCATTACCTGATGTCAGTTTATGATGAAAATCGTCATCAAAAGTAGAATCACCATCACATATTTCAATGATTTTTTTTATTGTTTTCGTTTTAACTTAGGTTGTGTTGGAATTCACCAAACTTTAACATTCGGCATAGCTGCATTGCTACCCATGAAGTATTCAAACGCAGTGATAGTAGGATCCGTAAGTTCTTGTTTATTTTTTAATTCTTTTCCGCTATATGTTGTTTGACCATTTGCATGAGGATATTCAAAGGAGTGGTTCTTTACTAACTAGCATTTCTAAACCATTACTTAACAACTATAAAACACATTTTTTAAATAAATATAATAATTTATATTCTGAAAATAATAATTACAGAATTCACACCAGTTCACAGGCATGATCAATTTGATATAAATAGTAACATTAGATGTGCAGAACAAACATGTGATAGAAGAAAGTTTTAAGTATGCTAGTTCAGTAATTGGCTAGGTAGTACATGTATTACAGCGATCCAATGCATCAGCCGGGAGTTTTTAATATTTCCTAAATGGACAGCCTGTTGATTTATGAACGGAGTAATTAAAGTCATTTTGTGTGCCAGAGCGAATTAATGATAATTATCTACAACTAGAGAAATTAAAACGAAAACAGAGAGCATGGAACAACAAAGCAGTAATTACCAAAAATATATGAATCAGGTCTACCTAAATGCGTGTGTCATGTGACACAGTGATATACTGTTGATGCTATTCAAATTAGTTAAACTTGCTAGGGACGGTGTTAACATAAAGTGACAGCAAGTAAGTGGTTTTACTTAGGGAATGCACTAATAAAGATGGCTAAACATTTAAAGTTCCTATAATATCATTGGTGAAATGAGATACACTTACAGGTGCTAGACCATTCAATGCATTTTCAGAGGAGCAGTATGCATCGTTTCAGCGAACAAATAATGGGAGTGATTTTATCGTACGGATAGATTGTGGTAGGTTATTCCAGAGTCTAGAAAACTTACAGGTAAAGTAATTTATATAAAGAGATGATTTAGAATGAGTTTGTTTCACCTAGTGCCAAGGAATTACGGATGTCATAATGAGAAGTTTCTGCATATTGAATCACGTGATTGAATGTAAACGATAGTTCGTTGGAATCTGTATTGGTTTTCATCAATCTGAAAATTCATGTATGAACGCATCACCACGTATGTGCGTTCAGCCAAGTTTCCATACCACGTTATCACAACAATATGAAGATAAATGAAAAAGTATATATAATGGAATACTGGAATTCAAGATCTATGGTGAGACAAAATAATGTGATAGCCTCTGCGCCAATTCGACCAACTCTGAGTCATGTCTTCTAAAACCTTCAGCCACTGGTTGAGGTTATTGATGCATTCTAATGCAGAGACCAAAACGACAACTCAACTGTTTTCTAAGTATTCCCTGATTTTTACTGGTTCTCCAGGTGAAACTTGTTTGTACTAAAAATTAAATTTTTCATATGTAAATAACTTTTTCTGTGGTTATGTAAACTTTGTATTGGTTTCATATTATTCACTTTGTTGTAAAATAATTAGTTATAAAATCTTCCATTATGAAGATGGTGTAAAGGGAAACATGCTATTAAAACAAATTTATTCATATACTTTCGGAATATTTAACAGCGTGTGTCATTGAAAAATGTAAACGAATGCATAATACTTAGTTGGTTAGAAGTTGTCGATGTTTCATTGTATTTTATATTCTTCATTGACTAAAGAATGATATTCTTAAATTAGATAATGTCTAGCGTATTTACTTTCATTGAAATGTTTCAAACCAGACTAATCATTAATAAAAGTTTTACAAATGTAATTACATTAAAGTTTAATTAAATAGGTAAATCGTATAATACATGAGAGTAACTGAAGATTTAATAAAAACTATTGAACTGATTTGCCAAATAGATGATTAACTACAATTTGAATAATAGGTTAATATTAATAGTAACAACTGTGGCTAGATGTTATAGATAGTTCAAGATGTGATTATTTTTAATTGTGGTTTCAGATGCTTCTTGTCAGCGAGTTTTCAACATCCTTATTATTATAGATAAGGAAAATCTAGAAGTTATATTCAATTACTTATGCACAGTAACTTAAACTAGTCTGTGAAAGTGTGATGGTTCACACAATTGGCACATTAAAGATGAAACATTAATTTCCTTATCTTCTAAACGGGGAATATCTCAATCATTCCCTATGATTTGATGAGATATTCGTCTATCAATGAAAGGACGAGTATACTGCGCAGCAGTTCGTTCTGTTTTACTTTACGGCTGCGAAACTTGGCCATTAAGAGTAGAAGATTCTCGTAAGCCACTAGTATTTGACCACAGATGTCTTAGAAATATTGCTCTCATTTTCTAGGATCAACGGGTAAGTAATAGTGAGGTTAAACATAGGATATTAGAGAATGATGGTAAATCAGTTGATGAGATTGTGAATCTTCATCGACTGAGATGGTTGGGACACGTGTCACGTATGCCTGAACACCGTTTGCCACGACGCGCAACGCTAAGTAGTGTTGGAGACGGTTGGAAGAAAGTTAGGGGTAACCAAACCATCATGTAGCATCAGTCCTTGAAGTCACTAACTTCAAGTCTGAGCCATGTTGGTAGATGCAGACTAATTGGTTGCGGTTCGCGTGACTATCGTAACTATTGGTTGGAGACTTGGTGACATGACTCAAAATCGATCACACTAGCCTAAGTGTATACACTCTATGTCTTCCCTTAAACTGCGAGATTAAAATTGCTTTATATCTTTTTCTCTAAGAACTAATCCTTTCTTCCTGCACTATATCCTTATACACTATTTTTCTTTTATACGTTACTACCATTGAAGTTACTACTTCTATGAATTTACTGTTCATCTTGTTGTGTTAATGAGGTATGGCAACTAGGACCGATGCATATATGTGCATAGTCTTATGTTGTAGCTGACTGATATGATTTGATTGCCCCATCCTTAATTTGCACACTCATTTATAACTCAGGTGGATGATTTATGTGGAATTTTATTTTCTAAGCTGGATAGTTTATGCCAATGATGTTGTTCAGAAGAATAATGATAACTCCCACGACTAAACCATCCAGCTCAAAGAAGAAAATCCCACCTATATATTGAACTATTTAAATCATTTTTATTAATCATAAGTTGTTATTTGATATGAATGTGGCAATTTGTTAATTTCTCTAGATTTGATTAAACGTTATATGTAACTATCACCTATTAGACTGTTCTACTTGATAAAAAAATGTTTACAATGTTAAAGTTGTTTACATCTCTTTTTAACATTGGAAGTGACTTGTAATTTAAAATTCTTGATCGTTTAGCTTATATGAATATGTTTCTACTTGGTTTCACTATAAATTTTCTATTCTTTTTCTTATCGTCTTGGAAATACAGAATGCATGTGGTGCAATAATTTCATTAGTGAATATTATTACGAAATCACTAACTTTAAGTAAGTCAGTTATTAATTTCATTAAAATAGTGAAATTCTAATGGACATTTAAATTGATAACTTCTTTATTTACTGAAGCTTTTTTGTCAAATTGATTTCTGGAAAAAAATATTCATTCTGGTCAGTGGAAATTTAACTTCTGAATACTAATGATGGGTTTGTGGGGCCCTTTTATTTGTCGTTGTTTAGATCGGACGATGTTGTCGAGATCTGACTCCAATTAGATCGTATGAATGTTTGTTATCGCTTATCCTCATATATAATCATCGACTTAAATCACGTTAGTCAATAACGGAATTAAATATGTCGAATAACGAGAATGGACTTGTGAATACATATATTTCGTATATAAAGCGAACGGAATAGAGAGAAGAGAGACGACGCAGAGTAGAGATGGCTGGTAAGTCAACTCCCCTTTAACCAAGCGTTAATCAATAATTATAGTTACACAAAAGTAAGTTGCAGACATGTGATGATTAATGGGATGAGAAATGTACACACACCTACGCACTTATATAAAAACAGTCAAGATTGATAAGCGAATAAATAACAAGGTCAGAATGTGACTCAAGTAGAATGAATAGAATGGGCTGTCCGAAAGCTAGAATAAGGTATATGGGCTTAATATAATAACCGACACTACAGGTTTAGTATGAATTGTAATTTAAACAAACATGAATGTCAAGTTTTTGTAGAATAGATGGAATATGCCTAACAATGAAATGGAAAATGCACATTTCATCCTATTCGGAACACGTTAGCTAGATACACTTGCATTCTAGTTTTGATGTTTAAATTGAGACTTGTGCTAAGTATCATTCTCATCAAACACCAACAAATTATTCACTTAACTAGTGAATCTGGATAGCCACTGGGTTGTGAAATGTGTTAGGTATTTATAAAGGTTGGAATTATCCTAATAATTATATTGATCACTGAATTTCTATCAGCCTTTATAAGCATATCTTCAAACTCTACGAATTAACTCGACACAATCACTGTTACAAGCATAAATATAAGCTTTATGTTTTCAATCGATTCATAATAGAAACAATTTGTGGCTGTTTCAACAATATTCACAAAATCACTTTCCGTTCTACTGACTAGCTTCGATGTTTATTTTTTCTTCGAAATTTTAGTGGGAGGTTGTGACTACTTAAATCATTCATCTCAAGATTGAAGTGGTAACTCACCGATAACTATGACTGAGATTAATCCCTTATCACCAATTGACAAGAGTTTTCAAATGTGACCCATAAAGTTAAAACTCTGTATCAGTTGTATTGTGGTCACTGACATGCTTGAAATTGGAGTTTGGTTTTAACTGAGTTTATATAATAATATATACCTCAGAAGAGCCTCGAACCAGGACGAAATGTCTGTCCGGTATTCCTTAGTTTCCATCATTTTTTTCCATATCAAACCAGTTTATGGAAAAAAATCAAATGAAAAATTTTCTTTAAATTTGTTTGAAATTTCAACACAGCAGCTCAGTTACGAGTTTATAGTGATCCATTAATTTTTTAAAATCTTCAATAACCATCATAACTACGATGTTTTATCTGTTATATTTGACATTTTATTCTTATTTATTAGAAACAATTGACTTAGTACATAATTCTATTCAACAGATTCATTTTATAGCTCAACAACTGTATATATGTATATTTTAATAAATAATTTGAAAAAAAACAAACTTGGATGTGTGTTGCCATGGCACAAATAGTTAAAATGAAAGTCATGAAATATGGTCACTATCGAAAATTTCAGACGAATGGAAAATAAAATATATATGCTTTAAAGATGAGACAGCTAATTAGAATTGAGAATGTGACTTTTAGTCCTTTTATGCGAAATTCATATATCATCTTTTTTTCCTCTTAAAAAAAAATAATCACAAATACCTTTGTAAGTGTTCTAAACATTTAAAGTAATGATGAAAAATTATTTTATGCAGTTATAGAGTAAAGGTGATCGTGTTAAACGTATCAAATAACTAATTCACTCATCCTAGGTTGTATATAACAGACATATTTATATCATCTATAATTCTTAAAAGTAAATCCTGAATTGAGAAACACATCCAAATTTAGTGGCACTACATTGTATTAACTGAATGATTAAATAGAGCCTTTTATATTTTTAAGCGAAATTCATTCATCCATATGGCAATAGAGCATTTTTTTTCTTTGCATTGTTATTTATATCAATATTGTTGGTGAAACCCCTAACTCTAAACCTTTAATCCTAATCTTAAATACTTAACTCAAACTATTAACAACAACGTGGAGACTCTTAAGTATCTTTTTAGGTCATTTTAGAGGTTCAAGAATATGGAACAAATACATGATTGACATATCAATTAGGACAAGTTTATATGTCTTTTTTTTTTCTTGAGTTACCTATAAAAGACATCAACATAGTGATCACTTTTATAAAAGCTGTTTACGCTTTACAATATTATTTACTTCCTTTTCATGGACTATCTATTTTTGATAGTTTTCTACTGATGAACCAGAAACTAACAAGAGATTTCGTGTTTTCAGCTGATCCTTTTACTCTACTTTCGACAAAAACCCTTCGTCTTAATAATAATGTATGCTAATTCTTGTCTCGTTTAAAATTCTAATTGTCCATTTCCTCTCTATGGTAGTCAATTACAGTTAATAAAAATTTGACGTTAGATTTAAATATATCACCTTTTAGGTGACTTCAAACTTTATTCTTGTTTTATTTCATAAATAGTGAACTTTAAGCTATTTGCAGTCGATTATTCTTGATTTTTTCTCCTAATATTTAACTGAAATCAATTTTGTTTGTTGTGGTTTGAAAGAGTAGTTAAAAAGCTCTTGTGCTACATTGTGTATAATTTGACTCTCATCAGAAAAAGGCGTGTCCATAATCTTGAGGGAACTGATAAGTTCAGTGGAATACGAACCAGAGTCACTCACATAGCAACATGATTAATAGAAATCTTTCAGCACTAAAGACTTAGAAAGAAGACTCTAGTTACTCATAATTGACTTAATGTACCATTAAAATCTACATGCAATTAAACAAATTAGTTGAATTCTACTAAATAAAAGAACTGGGTCTTATGATGTATAAATCTGTTAACTGTTTTCTGACTACCGTAACTGTATCACTCAGCTCTACAGGAAAAAGAGGAAGCAATCTTATTATCAGACAAGAAGATCCTCTATACAGTAATATGATGCTTCATGGACAGAATATCAAATAAGACAATAAATAAACGGGCTAAAAGCATATAATTAAATATTGAAAATGACAAGACATCTCTACAATTTTCACTATATTTTCAGATACAATGTTGTTGATGAGACAACTATTGATAATTGCAATTTTATCTTGAAAAAAAAATAAAGTATGGAATTTTCGGTTTAATGAAACTCGGAAGTCAAGTACAGTTTTTATCAACAGATTAATTGTTTTGCTCTACAAACAGTTTTCAATACAACTGAACCTTAAGTATGCAACTCATTTATTGAAGTTGAACACTATAGTTAACGAGTCATATTGACAATCCTTCAATCAAAATATGAGTAAAATTTACAGTGTGATTAAACATAATGAAGCTAGTTACAGTCGTTTGTTAATTTCAGCTTGTATACCTGATAAACGAAATTAGCTATCTAAAACCCTTTATCATGAAATTAGATAGTGCTATATATATATATCGCCTACCGCGAATCGCGTTGCTAGCTAGTGTAGGAATAGATTGGAATGAAGCTACGGGTGGTCACATCAAAATGTGGCATCAGTTAACGAAGTCATTGACAGTTGAGTTGAGCTGTGCTATCAAATGCATACCACCGAGCTGGAGTGCGCGTGATTATCGTAAACAATGATTGGAAATGTTGGGTGACATGACTCGGAATTGATCGCCATGACAAATGCATTCATTCTTTATCTTCCCTGGAACCTTGAGTTTTAAATTTATCCGACACTTTTTCTTTGGCGAATTCATTCTTTTCAAGTTGTATCTTTTATGGCCAATCTTTGCTATCACTACTGGTACTGTTACTATGTCTACTACTTAGGCATTTGTCTTTAGAATTCTATCTCACTGTTGTCGTATGGTGTGGTAACTTGAACTAACACACAATTTTGCTTGGTTGAATGCTATCTATGGCTAGCTTGCTGACCGTCACTCTCGCTTAAACATTTCAGTTTTATCGAGAAATGGTTAAGTGAATTTATGTATGAGGTTACTAGCGTATACGATCGGTTTCGGAACTTCACAACAGTTGATACCTACAAATCAATACTTCTTTCCTCACGTTTTATAACATTATTTATGATTTATTTTCTTTCTGGTCTCCATTCTTTAGTTGAAATATTTTATCTCTCGCATACAGCTAGTCGGAACCGATTTTCTGCCTAACCATAAATTTGTTTTCCTGATACATTTGTCTGAAATATGAATCAATAATACAACTGAGTCATCAAATTCGGAGATTTGTTTAGCATATAAATGGATATTTGCAAATATGATTTTATTTATTGCTTATTTTATACATTTTACGTATACCCAATCTAGCTTGGAAGAAAGTGCGATAATGGTTAATGGAAATGTAATTATGTATATTTTTGTGCGTCAATGCATTTTGTGGAGAGATTCATGTACACTAAGGACTACATTTGTGTAAAACCTAGTTAACATTGTCATACTTTTTGAAGGATATTTTTATAATACATACCGGTCTGTACACAAATTGTTAAAACATGTCAAAGCATGCTTTAAACAGTAAAATAATAAGTGTCAGGTAAATTGGGATCTACTGTAATAGGATAACGTTCCACCTACCTTATTGAAATAGTATCAATATTGCTGTTGCTAGATGTTTGAAATAGGTTAATGGGAATCTTGGAATCCCGATTTCATTCTAATCGAAACCAGTCAGCAAGTGTTTATCCTCACTTAAGGGAGAACCAAGATTTATGTCCTACGGTAATTCAGTAACTATCCACATGGCTCTGTGGTATGTAACGCGCTGCAAATCACATCTCTGGAGGACATCGGTCTACAGGACCAAAGATGGGTCTTGTTGATAAGTAGCATAAAAATCGAAATATAAATTTAGAGTTTTCTACAGTCTGATACTAAAGTACGGTCTCCGATTATGTCATTTACTTGATCTTTCTAAAGCACATTTTAAAACATCAGTAAAATCTCGAAAATATGAAATCGGTTACTACTGAACGATCAATTAGTTTCATCGTGTTAGTTTTACTGAAACATTACGATGTTTATGTATGTAAAGTAATCGAAAGGCAAATATGCCCCATTTGATTGAAAATGTTTAATTAACAATAAGGCATTCAGATAGACAGATTGTAGGTATTCATAGGTCCATGCAATTTTTCTTATCACTTACCTATCTTAGCTGCATGGAGAATCTCTGAAAACTATTTTATTATAGTTCAATTTAAAAAATGAACTTACTAAACTAATATGAATTATTCGATAGTTTATTTAGCAGAGAAACTTCATAGCTGTGTGATATATCAAAAGAACTATAATATGAATATACTATTGAAAAGTAATAATTCTCATTAGGGTTTTTACTTTTCTCATTATTTTAACTAATGATCTATGGATTACAAGTTAAATCATTTATTATTTGGAAACTACTCATTGATTTCTTAAAACTACTAAAGTAGTGTGTTCATTTCAAATTTGTTTGTCATTGATCCCTGAACTTATATTCGTTTGGTAATTGTTATATCCAGACGAAGAATAAGTGAATAATAACCTCTAGGATCTATTCATGGGCTGTTATTATATATGTTGTTGTTGTCTAACTATTAAGTAAGCATATTATATATATTCATATTCCTTTCATTATAAGCTTCCATTTGACCTATTGACTACCATTATATGATTTACCATTCTTAACTTACTCCCAATTTATTAGTTACCGTCTCTCAAATTCTTGCATAATTATTATTTTCTATTTTATGTTATGATTCAGTTTGATTTACGTGTATATAAACTACATATGCTTGAAATACATGATTCCTATGACAGAGGTTGGTATTAGTGTTCTAGACTGAACCGGCTGGGTTAGGCGATAAGCTACCATCTCACAGATCCAGAAAGAACTCAGACTGACTCTAGGCTGTTCGTACTGGTTTATGCGTCGCTGGTTTGATCAATACGTCGGTGTTTTATTTGGGGATCGAATCACGTGATAGCTAACAGGCCATAAGGACATAAAAATAATAGTTTTTGTCATGAATTAACATCAATTAGAAACCAGAGTTCATTGACCAACTAGTTTTTTCTTTAACAAGAACTTTTCAAATGCATACACTTATATCATTAGATAAGATCTCATTCATAATATTGATATCTTGAAGATTAAGTGATTTCATAAAACAAAATACTTATAGTAGTGTATCCATTTGCTACAAAATTTTAGTTTCTCATTTTCTTAAAGAATATTTTTCCATTACAAAATTATTCAACTTTGTTTCTATGATAAAATCTTGTTTTTTTTCTCATTGTTGATGTTTTCCGTCTTAGGTGCAGTTAAATCGCAAACGTCAATAATTATTTCTGCTGTTATTTTCTTCTTATCTGCAGTATTAATTATTATAGCTTGCACATTCACATTCTTTTGGTTACAACGTTTAGTAAGTTTTGTTTCGTTTGAATTTTATTGTTTATTTCCATATTCACTCTTATATATGGTAATAAGACTATTGTAGAATAGATAGTGGCTACCAGTCAAATTAAGTGATCTCGTTTTCTTTTTATTTGGGACCAGTCAGATAGATAGGTATACATCCATGTTGATGTTCACATGTGGACTCAAACCCAGTACCTTTCTCCAGTGAGTTTCAAACAGGATGAGACATTCATTCTAGATTCTACTGTTGGCGAAAATCGATCTTTTTTTATAAAACTTGTGACAAAGCATCCATATTTACATAATGCTCATACCATATATATATATACCATCCAAGACTGATCAAAATTCAGTTCTTAATTTCATCAACATTATAATTCGGGCTGTGGATCAAACTAAATAGTTGTCTCTTTTTCAACATGTCATTTACTTGATGGGTTTATTTTTGTTATATGAAATCTTATGATTTCAACCGATGACTGGTAACTTGTATTGAATTATTAAATGGAAATAGACCTAGTAGTTAAATAAAATGATTTAAATCTAAAACCAATTCACATATTTAATTCAAACACTCGACTGTGTATTTAAACATCTATCATTTAATAATGTTAGTTTAAATAAACAGAATTGAACTATCAGTTGTTATCTTTCTACAAACAAGAGATCGTTGTGTTTAATTCTGTGCAATTTCACAATGAGAATGATCAATGTTATACTTATGATATAAACTCTGTATATTTGGTATTATTTCACTGCATACTTATAAAATCAACAAACTGAAATAAAATTGTTTAGTACTTAACTATTCAAGTTTTAATAAATAAATTTTTTCTGTTATATCCTAATGAGTAGAAAAATTATATTCCTGACGTTTCGTGATTCAATGTAAGCCACTTCTTCAGAGTAAATAAATAATCGATATTGAATTAACACAAGTTTATTTCATTTATTTATTTACTTTGAAGAAGTGGCTTATATTAACTCACGAAACATTAGAAATACAATTTTCCTACTTATTGAGATATTACAAGAAAATATATTTATTATTAACTCACTATTCAATGTTTAATTTATTTGGGACCATCAAATCCAACATCTATAATGAAACCTATATTCAAGGTTTATTTCTCTGTACTACTGATATTACTTTCACTTTAAAACAAACATTATACGATATATCTAATATATTGGTTAAATCAACATATATACGTTACAAATATATAAAAATAGACCATTTCCTTCAGTTTATATGATACATATCACTTTCAAATAAACGAAACTAACTTGTTACATAAAGTTTATTTTCAATGTATAACAATAGGAAAGTGAATATTTCTTACTCAATGTATGTTGTGAGAATATTAAATGTGTATTGTAAAAGTAGTGTACATGGTCAACAACAAAATCAATCTAATTGAATTAGTTACAAATGATAAATGTAACATTACTTACTTGATTTTCATCGAATGGAAAGATTTGTAAAACACAAAATTTTTTATTCATAATGGGTGTTTGCGTATGTGTTGTCATTTATTATTATTTTTTGCTTCAAAATATTTATTTTAAATGAACCTACCTGTGAAATATTATAAGTTAAGCTATTCATTTTCACAATTCTACAATAGAATGTTACATATGTAACATGATCTATGTACTGATTGATATAGTTATGAATTGTTTTGATAATTAGTGACTTAATTTAAGGGTGTTTTTTACTAAAGTTTGTCTGTAAATTCATTAAAGTAGATGAATATATTGTAGTTCACTTTCAGTATCAACAATTGATAGGTGATTCATTCAAATGGTTTATACTCTAATAGGTTATTTCTATCGAAGGCGTCAAACATGTATTCACCCTAGTTTAGGAATAATTATCAATGTTTAGTAGTTGAGACGTAGTCACTAAGATACCTTACTCGATCTAAGTTTCATGCTAGCTGATAATTATCACTTATCTTGAAGGAACTGATCTATTTTATAGACCTGTAACCTGCATCAATCATTGTCACCCTGAGACGTTACCATTAAACCATTCAGGTTGTGGCTACTCTCCTGTGCGAAAGATATTTACAGTTTACGATTCCTTATCAACAGGAAATCATTGCCACATAGATTTCACTGCTGACTACCTAGAGCAACCAAAAATGTCAACATAGTGCACGCATCGTCAATTCACTTAGATTAATGACCACATTGCAATCTGTTCAACAAAATTCGATCAGTATTTAAAGACCAGACAAATATGACATTGGCTATTACTTAGTGAAAGTTAATTTTCCTGATAATCCAACAGTAATTTCATGTTTAACGATTTCGACTTAAATTCTACTCAGATCTGTACACAAGTCCTCTCTCTCCAAAAAAAGATAGTGTGTCTTGTAAATGCTGTTCTATCTTGATTTGACTTTTCTCAACGTACGATGAAAACATAACTTCCAATGCATAATATAGCATCATCAATGTGAAGCACACGTAAGTTAAAAAAGACAAACATGGTAAAACTACAATTTATAGACGACTTTTGAACGACGCCAAAGTGACATTGAAAGAATTCGCCAACCTACTAAGGTCTAAAGAGGGTTATAAATAAGCATGAGAAATCAGAATCGAGATTCGGAGTTAGAATTTAGGGTTAGGAATTACAATTAAGGTTTTCATTACGAACTGACGCCAACCATAATGCCAAAATGCTATTTAGCTAATATGGATAAATAACTTTCATGCCGAAATCCAAGATTTGCTACCTTTAATCTGATCGCTTCGTTCATTAATCATAATTTCTCCACAAAGGTTTTACTTTTGTCTACTCATTATAAATGTAAGTAATACTGTGTTATTTTACAAAATCAATAAACTGGTTATGGAAACTGCATATATTAAAAGGTGATCACCTTAACTTCGAAAGACTTCCTTGCTAACTTTAATTTTATGTATGTAACATTTTATTCATAATTATTATTTGTAAAAGCTTGTATAAATTGGTTACTTATAATCCAAAATATAATCAGCTTTTTACTACAAACAATATTGTAGCATTTAATCATCAAAAAATGATCATTACTCTATTTAAATATTTACAATGGACAAAGTGTAATCTGTTACCAATAATTAATATCAGTATACTCGTTGAGTAGGATGATGTCCATTGTAACTCAATAGGCCTATCAGTTAACAATTTACTAGTACTTGAAGTTACAATCGCAATTAAAACAATCATATTTGTTGATAAAGTTGTATTCTAACGGACGAGTTTCAAATAGGTTAATATTATCGATCTTGGATTCTAGTATTAGATACCATAGTGAAGAAGAACACAGGTGAGGACAACCGATTATTTTTATCACAAAACTACAGAATTACTTGGTAAAATAGAAAAAACCATACTTTAATACTTCGTTTGCAAAATGTTCATTAATTGTCTCAGACTTTATTGTTCCTGCATTTCCATATCAATTGTTTTCTGTTTCCGTTCTTTCCTTCTCAATCTTCTGCTGCCAGACGTTCTATTCCTGACTCGCGATATATACTACTTATATCGATATAAGTAGCACACACCACAATACTATTTAAAATATTTTGTTCTTGATATTGATTAATCAAAATCCAAAACTATATTAATATCAAAATATTTACTGTTTTTTGTCCCGACTGAATAAACGACAAAAATACTTCAAATTCTACTTTAAAGCATAAAATGTTTTTGCTGATTATTGAATATGAAAAAAAGATGAATAACACTACTGATGACTGATATTTTCCTAATAATTATTATCTAGATGTTATTTTATAAAAGTTGGTTAATATGCTATGATTTATTAGAATTGTAAAACCTAATAATTAGAAAAAACGTTGACTTATTACATCGAAACAATAGCCCCGAAATGTCCTCACATGGCCACGCGTATATAGCCACTGCCAGGAAAGTCCTTCTCATTGCCTTCTCGCGCTGGGGATATGGTTTACGAAATTGAGAGGACGAAGAACGAATATCCGGTGCTTTACCCATGTTTGCGGATATTGAGGATCCACCTACGGAAGTCGGAAAACCTTGATTCCAAACCAATGGTGTACATGGGCTCTAGGATCCTGAAGGAACAAATGGTGTATGAACCAATCGTTGGTCACCGGCTACCTTGGGACTGCATCTCTTAACGTTGCTCCACTGCCTTGTGGATTAGACTTGTAGGTCGAAGGCTCTGGCTGTGGCCTCCTAAGAAAACCACCTGCTTCGGTTTGGGCACCCGGGCAGTACCGCAGCCCTTACTCATATCAAATGAGATTTGTGTGGCGCATATGTATTCAGCGATCCTTTATGCAAATATTTATGTGTTCAAATAAATAAATAAATTGAAACAATAAATTTATGATTTCATAATTTCCAAAAAAAATTTATTTTGACTGAAATTTCAACATTTTTTCATCATATCTAAGTTTTCAAAATAAAAATAACGTTATACAAAATAATAATGAATTCATGTTTAGACAAACTATCTACTCTTAATAATTATTATCATTGTTATTCATAATAACTTTATTAAATTGAACAATCATGGGTATCAAAAATTGAACAATGGACATTTAATGATCAATAGTTACTGATATTGAAAAAGAAATCATTTTTCAGTAAGTTTAAAATCCAGCAACATTTAAACAATAATATTAGAAACGGGGTTTTATGGAGATTGTAGTTATTTTGAATAGTTGTTTTCATCAGTGGTGGATGCGTAACTCTGAGGAGTCCTACATTAGAATGAAACGACGGTCCAATGGTTCGAGGCTTATCATGGTGGTCTGGCTTTAATCGACTCATGAATTCAACTAATAAATAAAATAATACAAAAGGTTTGTAATCGTTTTAATATAAATAATGACTATTGTTGTATTCAGTAAAGAATATTGCAACTATCAATATAATTTTAAGCATGGAATTTAAACTGATCATTTCTCGATCACAGTTTTATTGACTTTTGCTTCGGAGATCTATTATTGCACACGTTGAGA